ACACTAATTTGAAAGAATGTATGTACCCCTATTTCAAATAGCCAAGATCTGGAAATAGCCCAAGTGCCCTTTGCAACAGCATGATGGACCTGGATATTATTACACTAAGCAAAAATAAGCCAGTCAGAGAAAGACAAATACCATATGATCTCACTAATATGTGGAATCTAAGGAACAAAATAAACTGACAAAGAAAATAGAATCAGAGGCATGGATACATGTAAGAGACTAACAGATCTCAGAGGGATGAGGAGTGAGGGGGACTGGAAAAAATTATCCCATGGACATAGGCAATAATGTGGTGATAGCCTGGGGTGGGGAGCTGAGTAGAGGGGAGCAAACAGGGGTAAAATGGGGGACATCTGTGATACTGTCAATATTTTTTTAAAAAAAGAAGAAATTGAATCAATAATTCTAAGCCTTTTTAAACAAGAACCACCAGTCTGATATAAATACTTAGGCCTGAAGCATACCCAGACCTTCACTACCTACTGTGACCACCAGCCAGGTATGCTCATTCAGGATTACAAAGAATAGTGCACCATAGCCAAGGATAACAACCTACCTGGCAAGACATACCACCTGTACTCTGTGGTCTTCCTCAGATTGAGGTCACTTTTGATATTGATGCTAATGGCACCTACAATGTCTTTGCTGTGGATTCGAATACAGGCAAAGAGAACAAGATTACCATCACTAACCAGGAGAACTGTTTGACCAAGGAAGACAGTAAACATATGGTCTAAGAAGCTGAGAGAGAAGTACAAAGCTGAAGAGGAGAAGCAGTGGGACAAGACATCTTCCCAAAATTCACTTATACTCTTTGCAGTCAATATAGAGGCAATCACCAAAGATGAGAAAATTTAAGTTCAGCTCAATGATGAGGATAAACAGAAGATTCTGGACAAATGTAATGAAGTTATCACCTGGCTTGGTAGGAATCAGACTACAGAGAAGAAAGAATTTGAACATCAGCAGAAAGAGCTGGAGAAATTCTGCAACTATATCCTTCCCAAGCTGTCCCAGAGAGCAGGAGGTAAGTGCAGGAGTTAAGCCTGGGGCTCCCTTAGCTATGAAACTCCTCTTATAGGCCCACCAATGAACAGGTGGATCAAGGAACCTGAACATGCATTTAGTTGTATTTCCACACAAAGTATTGAAAGACCCAAATTTGTAGCAAATTCCATGGTAGTTTTACAGCTGAGCTACTATAGTAAGTAACTTACAGGCTCAACAATTGAATGTGGAGCATGTGCACAAGGAGAGGAAATAACCCTGAACTTTCTAGGCACTGTAGTGTAAGGACAAAACACAATGTCTTAAATCAAATTCTATTTGAAATTGGCACCAAAACAAAAATCCCCACAATATAAGCCAGAAACTTTTACTGCATTCAGATACAGTTTTGTTGTAAGGATATAGGTCTAAACTACAGAGGTATGTTTCCCTGGGCCTGAATAGTGTTAATTATGAAAGCAGATGTTTGAGGGGACCCATCATACTGAGCACTGATTACCAAATGACAGTGCTATCTACATTTTCTTTAATAAGTGCATTTTGTATTATTTATGA